GTCGTAGCCATGAGTGAGTGCCGTGGCCATGAGTGAGTGTCGTGGCCATGAGTGAGTGTCGTGGCTGTGAGTGACCAGTGCCATGAGTGCCATGGCCATGAGTGAGTGCCTTGGCCAGTAGCATGTGCCGTGGCCATGAATGAGTGGCCAGTGCCATGAGTGAGTGTCTTGGGTATGAGTGAGTGTCATGGCCATGAGTGAGTGTCTTGGCCAGTAGCATGTGCCGTGGCCATGAGTGAATGACCAGTGCCATGAGTGAGTGTCATGGGTATGAGTGAGTGTCATGGCCATGAGTGAGTGTCGTGGCTATGACTGAGTGTCGTGGCTATGAGTGAGTGTCATGGCCATGAGTGAGTGTCATGGCCATGAGTGAGAGCCGTGACCATCATGAGTGACTGACCTGGTCACCACAGTACCACTCGCGGTCATGAAGACGTTCACGAAGGCAGGTAAAGAACTGCTCCACCTGGTTGGGTATGAACTCCTGCTGCAGCTTGGTCTTCTTCTCTTCGTCATCACCAGGACTCCTCCTGTAAGACACGTATGGAAGGTTAGGTTCGTCAGGAAAGAGGACAAGAATTTCCTGAAGTGGGTCTTAGTCATGTGATGACCCAAAGCTGGAAGAAACACATACTTTCATTTATATAGCCAGCGAGCGCGCGCGCGCGACACACACACACACACACACGAGCGGGGTCCCACATGGGTCAGTCCTAGGACCAGTGCTATTTTTGGTATATGTGAATGACATGATGGAAGGGATAGAGTCTGAAGTGTCACTGTTCGCAGATGATGTGAAGTTAATGAGAAGAATTAAATCAGATGAGGATCAGGTAGGACTACAAAGAGACCTGGATAGGCTAAACATGTGGTCCAGCAACTGGCTTCTCGAATTCAACCCCTCCAAATGCAAAGTCATGAAGACTGAGGAAAGGCAAAGTAGACCACAGACAGAGTATAGGCTAGGTGGCCAAAGACTGCAAACCTCACTTAAGGAGAAAGAGTTTGGGGTGAGCATAACATCTAGCACATCTCTGGAAGCAAACATCAACCAGATAACTGCTGCAGCATATGGTCGCCTGGCAAATCTGAGAATAGCCTTCCGATACCTAAGTAAGAAATCGTTCAAGACACTACACTCTGTACGTCAGACCCATACTGGAGCATGCAGCACCAGTTTGAAACCCACACGTGGACAAGCACATCAAGAAATTAGAGAAAGTAATAAGGTTTGCAACAAGGTTAGTTCCGGAGCTCAGGGGAATGTCCTACGAAGGTTGAGAGAAATCGGCCTGACGACACTAGAAGAAAGGAGGGACAGGGGAGACATCATAGCGACATACAAAATACTGCGTGGAATAGATATGGTGGACACAGACAGGATGTTCCAGAGAGGGGACGCAGAAACAAGGGGTCATAATTGGAAGCTGAAGACTCAGACGATTCACAGGGATGTTAGGAAGTATTTCTTCAGTCATAGAGTTGTCAGGAAGTGGAATAGTCTAGCAAGTGATGTAGTGGAGGCAGGAACCATACACAGCTTTAAGACAATATGACAAAGCTCAGGGAGCAGAGAGAGGACCTAGTAGCGATCA